ATATACTTCGTATTGAAAAATGCTACAACACATGCACATTTCTTTGTTGTAAAAAGTAAATAAAAAATTATAATTTTTTATAATATTAATTAAAAAAATTTGCGATGTAATTATAATAATTGTATGCCCTTCAAAAATTCCCAATCACAAATCATTACTGTGATTACGTTGGTGCAAAAATTCCAAAAATGAATGAACTGTATTCCATTTGATGTGAAATCTCTTGACCCTGAGAGTGACGGCACTATGCGCATACAACATAACAACTCGATATCATTCAATTTTAGTTTGATGTCTCTGTATTACTCATATTGAAAAAATAAAAGAATAAAAATAGAAAAATGATTGCAACACGATGCCACAAGTCAAGTCCTATGGAAAATATGCGCTTGATTAACCCTTCGTTTGTTTTAACCTATTCTCATCACAATATATATATATAAGTTCTGTTATATATATATATATAAGTTTTTACTTGTGACAATAACTTTAATTATGTTCTCAAAACGAATAAATGCCCTTATGGGCTACAACTTCCAAGGCTTAAGTCCGGTTATCCCAAAGTGGCCTCTCGGACCCATACAAAAATAGCCCTTGGCTTAGCAATTAAATCACAACAAAATAGAGCTATGTACTCTTCACAATTATCCACGCCCTCAACTTGACGGGATCACTACATCTTTACCTGCACCAAAATTTCATAGGGGTGAGCATAAAGCCTAGTAGAGAATTTTCACAAAGTATATACAGTTATGCAACTCTCAATGTAAAATCCAAATGTCAATGCCATACAATGCTACTTCAAAGAAAGTTTTATTTCTTGTTCTTCTCAATGACCATCGTGTTTCAATAAAAAGTAACAATTCAACAATTTCTGAAAGTTCCAATTTTAAATCAATAGGGGCGGTAAATACGACACTGGTAATCCCTAGGCTGGTGTCTGCAAATAGACTATACAAGTACTACCAAATTGTCATTTTTACCGGTATTAACCGGAAGGCTCGACACCTATCCACGCGGGTTTCTGGTCTTTCACCATGGACACTCAGGCCAACTTATCAATTCATCTACACCCCCTAACCAGACTCACCAACGTATTTACCCCACACACATTATCGTTGCTTTCATTACCATGTATGTATGTATATATTCCTTTCTTGAATGTAAATGTTTCCACTAGACTTGGCATATTTTCATCCACATCTATCTGCAAAATGCCATCAGGTATACTTGTGATTGAGTGTGAGACTATTAATCCACAAAATTAATCCAGTGTGAATATTCAATGATTAAATCTTATTGTGGAAAATATTGATTTAAAACTTCATAGTCATGGTTTATTAAGATTTAAACAATTGGGTATGCCGGTTCGAATCAAGCGGAAACATAAAGTTTAGGTTTGTGTAAACCAAGGTTTAATCACACAAGAGTTGTTACCTGATGAACAAATATCATACTAATCAATTCAAGCATGATAAAATCTGTTGTAGCTTTGCCTAAATGTGTTTAACTAGTAATCTTTGCATGAAAAGACTGTACTTGAAAAGTGAAGTCTTCTGCAAAACTAATGAAAGAAAATACTTGAGGATGAATCTATGCATTTGGATTTATCTTCTTTCACTCTATTGAACAGCATCTACTGTGGAACCTATTTAGAGTGTAAGATAGGGTCGGTCGGCATTACATGTCACAGCCTTCTTGAAGTAAATTTAAATGAGAAAAAGATGAATGTAATGCCCTGAAATAACTCAACATAAACTAACCACATCAACTAACATTCACAACACAATGACAATAATCCTTTCATCTTTACATTGTCAATAACGAGTTTATACAAAAGTTTCACATGCAGGTTGTACATTCATTGGTAAGAAAACACATGAATCTATAACATGTGAAGCATATAGTTCTCAAAACGAATAAATGCCCTTATGGGCTACAACTTCCAAGGCTTAAATCCGGTTATCCAAAAGTGGCCTCTCGGACCCATAAAAAATAGCCCTTGGCTTAGCAATTAAATCACAACAAAATAGAGCTTTGTACTCTTCACAATTATCCACACCCCCAACTTGACGGGATCACTACATCTTTACCTGCACCAAAATCCCATAGGGGTGAGCATAAAGCTTAATAGAGAATTTTCACAAAGTATATACAGTTATGCAACTCTCAACGTAAAATCCAAATGTCAATGCCATACAATGCTACTTCAAAGAAAGTTTTATTTCTTGTTCTTCTCAATGATCATCGTGTTTCAATAAAAAGTAGCAATTCAACAATTTCTGAAAGTTCCAATTTTAAATCAATAGAGGCGGTAAATACGACACTGGTAATCCCTAGGCTGGTGTCTGCAAATAGACTATACAAGTACTACCAAATTGTCATTTTTACCGGTATTAACCGGAAGGCTCGACACCTATCCACGCGGGTTTCTGGTTTTTCACCATGGACACTCAGGCCAACTTATCAATTCATCTACACCCCCTAACTAGACTTACCAACGTATTTACCCCATACACATTTCCATTATCTTCATTACAAATATATATATATATATATATTCCTTTCTTGAAGTAAATCTTTCCAATCTAGTTACACAATGCGTAATAAGTAATTCCATGTGAATGCAATGCAATGTTCTTCCATGCCTCATAGCATTTCACCAATTCGAATAACTTGACAACAATATCAAATAAATACATTTCTCATTTCCTTTCTTCAATGTTATTTCACAAAATAACTTATATGCCATCAACTCATAGCAACAACAATTTCTCATCATGCACAGTTTCTAACAAGTTAGTCTCTTCAAGACCATATGTGATATTTTCAACATTCATCTCCAAGATTTTGCATTTCCTACAATCCATAGTACACACCAATTTTCCACTACTCAAGTATACATACTCATATATATAGTTGTAATGTTAAAATAGTCCCTCATTATTTGTATATCAAGAAAACTTGCTATTTAACAAGACATGTGATAAAATCTACACTTTTTCAATCATTGAACACAAGAAAGAAAGAAAATCCATAAGTCTTTCCCATATGTCCCAAAAATCCTAAAATTTCTAGGGTTCTTTATCAAAAACAAGGAAATCCATTTCTTGGTGAAACCCCATCCAAACATCCTTCTTAGATTTATAAGATGATGCCCTCATGGATTGACTTAGAAATTTTATAAAGTTTAAAACCCTCTTTCGAAAAATCTCTACACTTTTGAGCCATAAGCCCAACTCTCAAGATATGTTCAAGAGAAACATAAAATCAACATATAATCTTGCAAAACATGTATATATAACTCAAGAATGTCCCTACCTCAAGGTTTAGGAGAAGAAAGAGAGATGAAACCCTAGCTTTGATGGTGTTGAAAGAAGATCTCCGCCGTACACAAAGTGGTTCTCAAGAGGCTCTACAATGTTGATGAAGAGACCATGGACCAATCTTCAATGGATGGTGAAGGATCAAGTGTTTAATCTTGTTTTTGAGGTAAACATATAGAGAGAAGGGAGAGAGATATATTTTTAGAGAGAGAGAGAGAGAGAGAGGTGTAACTAAAGTGATACATCCAGCCAAAATAGGGAAATAAAACAGGGCTTTCGAACTGCCAGACATCCCGTATGTGCGGAGCCTCACTCCCGCACGTGCGGCCCTCCCGCACGCACCTTGCCCCGCACCTGCATATATTGTAGTGTGTTGCCCCAGCCTCCCCCTGAAATCCGCATGTGCGGCCTCACTCCCAGCACGTGCGGCCCTAAGCCCCCGCACGTGCGTCTAGCCAAAACAGCCCAGGAAATTCCAGCTCAAGTCTCGGCACTCTGGGCCTGACCTCGCACTCCTCGGAATAAGTGACACTCAACACCGAACAAAAACAAGAACAAGAACTTTATTTGAGCACAACCTCCGACATTTCAAACCCAATGAGAGCAAAAGAGAACGGAGTGAAGAAGAAAGAAAAAGAAAGAGAGAGAAAAGACCTGGTCGTCATAATTAATCCTATAGAGAAAAAACATGATGAAAAATTGAAAAATAGCATACTATTAATTGTTGTAGGCAGCCAAAGCAATACGTGGCATGGCATAGTTGTTGAATCATCCAATACCTTCATGATTAATCAGATCTCAAGCACCTCAGAGAAGAGGAACAATATTTAATCTCCAAACAATTTGATGGGATATAATACACAAGGAAAAGAAGACATGTGTAACAAGTTGCATTGGCCTGAAAATTATATTTTTGGTTCCATATTGAAGAATAATATAAAAATGATATTGTAAACCAAATGCACAGATCAAGAGTACCTATAAAACTCCATCAGGAGATACGAGTCTACTCAAAACTCCATCAGGAGATACTAGTCTACCCAAAACTCCATCAATTGATCTATTCTCAACCCCAACCATGGTTACAACTTAAAAAACTCAAAAGTTACATTTCCATCAATTTTCATAAAATAAAAATTAATAATAAAGGTTTATAGCCATAATGCTCTAACTAGCATAGTTGTTTAAAGAGAATAATTTGCTTCGACATTAAGGAATTTGAAACCAACAACAAAATGGACTTTTCCTCTTTGGAGATACAAAAGATGAGGTTTTGGTATCTTGAATATATGATTTTGGCAACAGAGATTGATTAAAACTTTAATTGATCACCTCTTCTATATTTTTCTGGATGACACTAGTAACGAAAACCTAGTTGAATTATTTTACTCCTTCAAAATGCAAAAGAGATGGAAAATGGTTGAACTATCTTAGCATTATCGATAGTTGCTGACCACATGGACAACTACATTTGAATTGGTGCTTCTTGCTCCTACCCTTAACAATGCCAATTACTTCCTCAAGAATCCAAGTTCGACGAAAAAAACAAAATACAGAAACAAATGAGAATGTGTGAATGATTATGAACAAAATACCGCCTCATGATTGCATTTCAATTTTAGCTCCTCTACCTCCATGTATACCCCTAGTTCCAACAAGAGTGTTTCTGATCACTTGCAACTGAGTACCAACATCATTAATCGCCATCCGATCTTTTAGACATTCCTCTGAACAAGTGATTCCAACTTTAAGAATCGAAATCAAGCACTCTTGAATTTTGTGACTACTAGCAGAGCTCTGATCTTTTTGTTTAAACAGTCTAGGATCGGCAATAATGATTGCTGCTTGTTCGGGAAAAGCAATCTTAAAGAAGTTATGAAGACCCAAACTATCATAAAACATGTTATCTGTAGGTCTCTTCCCCGTGAACATCTCCAATAAAAGGATGCCATAATATATATATCATCAAATGTTGACACCTCATTTCCCATTCCATATTCTGCAATTCATGCATTAATATGTTAGGGACTAAGATTTGCTGATATTGGTACATCCACCCATTGATGGCACAAAATAATCACAAATTCAAGTAAACTATATGCCCCAACATAAGGAAAGTAAAAAAAAATATTTAATAAAATAAGAAGTGATAGTTTTAAAAGTCATTCATCCATCCATCCATTGTACTGTATGTGAGAGAAATACATTGAAAACAATAAGCGAAATATTTATTATATTGCATTGTGAGGAACAAAAGCCAAAAACCATCAACTCTGTTTCATTATTAAAGGAGCAGAATCGTGGCTGTGTGAATCAAAAATAGATTTTATAGTGTAGTGAAGGCACAAAGGAAAACAAAGAACCTAAGAGGTATATTTACCAACAGCAGCATAACCGATAGATCCTTTTATGCCAACAGAACTTGATTGGTTTGCTGAATGCTCATAGGTAGCTTCTAGAAGAAATCTTGCTAATCCAAGGTCACCTACGTGAGTAGTCATTTCATCGTCCAGAAGAACATTGCTTGGCTTGAGATCACAGTGAACGATTGGTTCTGAGCAATGTTTGTGAAGATAATCAAGCGCAAAAGCAACATCAATGGCATTATCTAACCTCTATACAAGGTCTAAATTCCTTGAGTATTTATGTGCCTCATCTTCATTCTCATTTGCATGTAACCAATCCTCTAGGCTACCATTACCCATAATCTCATAAACAAGAGCTTTGAAATCGTTACCTTGAGAAGATTTTGATGTTTCATGTGCCTCAAGGTCTCACACTTAGTGAAGAAACTCTTGGAAGCTCCAAGGCGTTGAAGGTATAGTACTTTTACTGCTACAACATTTTCACCTTCACCAAGAACTCCTTAGTACATAGAACAAAAACTACCCACACAAACCAAATGGGATGGAGAAAACCCATCAGTAGCTTTAAGTATACTTTGGTATGACAATTTCAAAAATGAGAGCTCTAAATATTTGAAAGAAGGTACTTTTTTAGTCTTTCTACACCAACAAGGATATAGAAAACATATTAGAATTAGTCCTACAAGCCCAAAAGATAGGAGGATTATTAATTTCAAGCTTCAAGTAAATTTTTCCCTTTGGAACCCCTTGAAGTCACAACTGTATAGCTGTAATTCAGGTATACCACCACAAAGCTTGTTGTTTCCCTTAACATAAATAGATGTTACATTTTGAAATATGCAACTTTCTGGTACTGGACCCTCAAATCATTGAATGATAGATTTAATTTTCCTAGAAGGGAAAGTCCTCTAAATAGGCTGGGATTTTTCTAGAGAAATTATTGTGAAAAAGATCTAACTCCTCAGTACCTCTCAAATTACTTAAATATGAAGGAAGGATTCCCCAAAATTTGTTTCTCTCTATATGTAGTAATCTCAATTTTAAGCAACTACCAAGAGTGCTTGAAATTTCACCGGCCAACATGTTCTCAGAAACATCAAGTTCTTCTAGATTTTTTAAAATTCCAATTTCCAATGGAAGGGAACCAGTCAAATCATTACGAGATATGTATAGATACAATAACGATGAGAGACTGAGAACTTCACTGGCTATGGTGCCACTAAGATTGTTTTGAACAAGTCTTACTTCTTATAACATTTGGCATTTCCCAGACTTGAAGGGATTCTGCCACGAAGATTATTGTTGCATAACATAAGATTTGCCAACACAGTTAAATTTCCAAAAGACAATGAGACATCCCCGTAGATCAAATTACCTGAAAGTTCCAATTTTTGTAGCTTTTGAAGCTTTCCAATATCAGCAAGAATGTTACCGGTCAAATTGATGTTTGACAAGTCAAGAAGCTACAAATTGATCAGATTCCTTATCCTAGTTGAGATGATCCAAACTATTTCATTGTTGCTCAATATTAGTTTACCAAGATTAGTGGATAAATTGCCAATTGATTCAGGCAACAATCCTCCAAAATTGTTGTTGCTTAGATCTAGAACATACAAATTTGTCACGTTGGTCAAACAATAGAGAAACCTCAAGCCATCAGCTTTCCAGGTTCCTAAACCATTTCCATGATGGTTTAACAACTGAAGATTATGCAGGTTGTCCAAATGAGGAACTTTTCCAGTAAATTTATTACCGACCAAGCCAAGGCGATGTAACTTGGTGGAATTAGACATTAAAATAAGAATGGATCCAGTAAATAAGTTTATACCAACTTCAAAGACACTAAGATTCGGAAGAGTAATTCCTAGGTCCCAGGAAGGCTCCCTTGAATTTGGATCATTATGATATTAAATTCTTTTATAGACGAGAGATTAAAGATTGAGAAAGGAATGGTACCAACCAACCTGTTCTCCTTAACAGAAAAACTTCCAAGTCTGTCAATCGACCAAGATCAACAGGTATGTCATATAGTGATCAGAGTTTTACCCCGACCTTTATTGTGTTCCGGACTCAGGTTCCGTGGTTGTATACTGTTGTTTATGTCTCTTTTCCTTCCTTTTACGCTTTGTATTTGCGTTTTGGGTCGTGTTGGGTGAGTTTGGAACAGGTTGGTTGTGAGTTGGTACAAATGGTTGCTGCCTAAGTTTTGGCTTCTTCCCTCGAGCAAGGGTTTTTACGCTCGAGCGAGCCTTGGGTATTTGCTTCTTCGCTCGAGCGAGGGTTTTTGCGCTCAAGCGAGGATTGAGAGTCCTTAGGTTCCTTTCTTAGACACAGCTTTCGCTCGAGCGAGAACTTTTGCGCTCGAGCGAGACACGTGTTATTTGTTCCTTCGCTCGAGCAAGAACTCTTGCGCTCGAGTGTGCGTCTGCGTTGGTGGCAGACTTAAAGCTTTGCATTGTGTGCTCGAGCGACTCTTCTTGCGCTCGAGTGAGGCCACTTGTTAAGTCTGGTCGCTCGAGCGACAGATCATTCGCTCGAGTAAGCCTCGCATATATCAGTTCACAGCAGCATGATTTCATATCACTTTTTGGTCCCTTCAATTGTTGTTGCTTAGATCTAGAACATACACATTTGTCGCGTTGGTCAAACAATAGTGAAACCTTAAGCCATCAGCTTCCCAGGTTCCTAAACCATTTCCATGATGGTTTAACAACTGAAGATTATGTAGGTTGTCCAAATGAGGAACTTTTCCAGTAAATTTATTACCGACCAAGCCAAGGCGATGTAATTTGGTGGCATTAGACATTAAAATAAGAATGGATCCAGTAAACAAGTTTATACTAACTTCAAAGACACTAAGATTGGGAAGAGTAATTCCTAGGTCCCAGGAAGGCTCCCTTGAATGTGGATCATTATGACATTAAATTCTTTTATAGACGAGAGATTAAAATTTGAGAAAGGAATGGTACCAACCAACCTGTTCTCCTTAACAGAAAAACTTCCAAGTCTGTCAATCGACCAAGATCAACAGATATGTCATATAGTGATCCAAGTTTTGCCCCGACCTTTATTGTGTTCCAGACTCGGGTTCCGTGGTGGTATATTGTTGTTTATGTCTCTTTTCCTTCCTTTTACTCTTTGTATTTGAGTTTTGGGTCGTGTTGAGTGAGTTTGGAACAGGTTGGTTGTGAGTTGGTACAAATGGTTGCTGCCTAAGTTTTGGCTTCTTCCCTCGAGCAAGGCTTTTTGTGCTCGAGCGAGCCTTGGGTATTTGCTTCCTCGCTCAAGCGAGGGTTTTTGTGCTCAAGCGAGGATTGAGAGTCCTTAGGTTCCTTTCTTAGACACAGCTTTCGCTAGAGCGAGAACTTTTGCACTCGAGTGAGACACGTGTTATTTGTTTCTTCGCTCGAGCAAGAACTCTTGCGCTCGAGCGTGCGTCTGCGTTGCTGGCAGACTTGAAGCTTTGCATTGTGTGCTCGAGCGACTCTTCTTGCGCTCAAGTGAGGCCACTTGTTGAGTCTGGTCGCTCGAGCGACAGATCATTCACTCGAGTAAGCCTCGCATATATCAGTTCACAGCAGCATGATTTTATATCACTTTTTGGTCCCTTCTTCACTCAAAACCCTAGATTGGCTATCTCTATCTCTAAAACTCCCATTATCTCTACAAATACTCCTTGATCTAGAGTCCTTCTACCCTACTTCCTTTGTAAAAAAGGGTAGAGTATCGCGTGGGCTTCCTTTTGATCCGAAAAAGTTCAAGTTTGGAGCATCTTCAAGTTTCTCCTTCTTCCTCTTTGAGCGTCTCCATTTGAGGTAGTGATAATCTACTCTTTAATATGAGTTTTGACCTAGATATTTGTTATTTTGTATAAAAGGTGGGATTTTGGAAGTTTGGGTGAAGTTAGGGTTTGAGTTTGGAATTGTGAAAGATGTGTTTTCTATTTTGGGCTCCAAATGTATATGTGAGGTCTTAAAAATGGGGTTATTTGTGTATAATGGATGAAATTTGGCCTTGGGTGCAATATTTGAAAAAGGAAGAAAAATGCCCTAGTTTGAATTAAATAAACTATTTTGTATAAATAGTGAAATCAATGTGGAAATATGAAATTGGTTTGGAAATTATGAAATTGGGAAAATATGTGATTAAATGGTGTAGTTGGATTGATAAATCACTCACCTATGAAAAATTTGATAAATTATCTGTTGATAGATTTATTTATCTGTTTAGAAATATCTATTTGGGCTATCGGTGGAGGATAGCTATGATGGTTGTAGAAAATTCATGAGGATTAGGAAAATTGAAACTAATCAATCGAATATTGTCATTGAATATGACGGGTGGATTAAACCATTGAATATGTGATTTGATTGGTCATTGTATATGAAAACGTGTTTATATACATTGTATATATATATATATATATATCTTTGTTTGGGAGGAGATAGAGGATGTACTCCATTGTGTGGGAGGAGATAGGAGATGCACTCCATTATGTGGGAGGAGATAGGGGATGGACTCCATTGAGAATTAAGTTGGCTGGAGTGTCCAGGGTGAAAGTCCCGAAATCTTATGTATCTATGGATGCCGGTTCCCTCGGATGTAGTTTCCTAAAATGGCAAGAAATAGAAGTGTTGGATTGATGAATTTATTGAATTGTGAACCATTGAGTTGTAGTCTCATTTTTGTTGTTTTGATAATAATGGATTTGGTTATTTGATTTTATCCAAAATGGAAGAATGAAATGAATTGAGATATTGGTTATCTATATTGAATGAACTTGAAAAGAATATATGTCTGTTAAGAATATCCCCCATTTATTTGATGGTTATGCCTTAGTTAATTCTCATGTACTGTTTAGCATATCTCTACTGGGCTTTGGCTCACCCTACTTGGGACACCATTTTCAGATACATGTGACATGCCGCCTCCAACGTCTTAGATTGGGAGGTTTAGGAGTTGAAGGCTCCATTTTGTTATTTTATTTTTGATGTTAAATGTAAATTCAAGTCGAGGGCTTTATATGTAAAAGAGTTAGGACTTTTCTTTTGTTGTAACCAAGTGATGACTTGGAAAGCTGTAAGCCTGTAGGGCACTTATTTTTGTTGTTAGAAGTTAGAGTTACATGCTATAGTTTCAAGATAAACATTTATGAAAATGTAATGCATGTAATATCTTTTGTAAAGAAGACTCTGATGAATAAAAATATGACTTTTCTATTATGTTTTATGGATTTTATGAATGGTGGGTTTATGTCATATTTTGAGGGTGTTACAACTTGGTATAAGAGCATACCTGGTTTAAATACTTTGGGTATGTGGGAAGTGGTTGGTATCACAATGGGTTTGTCTCGCTTGTTAGAGACTTAAGTATGATGTTATGTGCTTATATGATTACATGCTTATGTGACTATACGGGTATGGGATTTAGTTTCTAGGACATTGATCGGGTCCATGGGTTTCTGGGAGTTCTGTTGGAAAGGCACTTGATCACTGCCGTTTCTAACTGGAACTCTAGCAATGCCATGGGACGGTTACTATCCAGAAATGAAATTTGTATGTGCTTATGTGGAGTGAATTACAGTTGTCTATCATATTAGGACGCGAGTGAGATAACTTCAGCACATTTGTAAATGTGCTAATTTCTTTGTTACCTTTATTAGGATGTCAGGACGAGGTCGTGGTGGTAGGCGTGATAGGTCTAGGAGGTAGGAGATGCCTATACCGGATAAGATTTCGGCGTAAGAGGAAGAAGTGGGTCAGGCCAATGTGGTCGAGCCAGTAGGTCAACCGGCCATGGGCGCCTTAGCCCGTGAAATGACAGAAGCATTGAGGGAGTCTATGGACATTCTCAGGGTTGAGAATCAAGTCCAAGCCCAAGTAGCTGAAGTAAGGCCGTCTTTTCTGAAGAGGGAGTTCTTCCGGTCGAATCCGGATGAAATTTTGGGTGATCCTAAGGAGCCACTGAAGGCTGATGAGTGGCTTGAGCAGATGACGAAGACATTTTGAGATGCTTAGCATCGAAGACGGAGGTTTGAGGGTGACCTTGGCGTCCTTCTAGCTGAAGGGAGACGCGGGTCAGTGGTGGAAGTTTGTGCAGGGGCGCATTGGAGGGACTTGGGAAACCTTTGTTGAAGCTTTCTAGGACAAATACTTACCTACTAGAGTGAGGGAGAAGTTGAGGGATCAATTCTCCAATTCGTGTAGCTGAACACCCTAGTGGCTGAGTTTGAAGCCACTTTTACTAGCTTGTCTAGGTTTGCACTAGAGTTAGTGGCGACCAAGGAGTGCCGAAGTTTGGAGTTTGAGAAAAGGTTGCGGACCGGACGCATGTTTCGAGTTGCCGGGTCCATGATTAGGGACTATGGGTGCCGTGTGGAGGCTGCAACGCATCATGAGACTATTATGCATGCAGAGGAGGAAATGATAAGGGGCTTCAGGAGGAGTCAGGATGGCCAGGGGGACGGTAAGAAACAGAAGGGTTCTAACCTTCAGTAGTCCCAGGGAGTTCATTCGAGATCCACCTTTCTAGTGCCGAGTTCGGGTTCAGAGAGAGGCGGTCAGCGAGACATCACTTGTTGCAAATGTGGTCAGTTGGGCCCCAAGTCTCCAGCTTGGCCATAAAGGAGGGGAGGACAGCGAGCAGCTTCATCTTCAACTCATTATCAGGGCCAGAGTCAGGGTAGAGGCCAGTCGCTCACTTGTTATTAGTGTGGGCAGGCGGGGTACTTGAAGAGGTTTTGCCCACTATTGAGTGGCACACTTGGTGCGTCTGGTTCGAGGTAAACACAGAG